AGCCAGTTATTGTGACGCACACAAAATGTATGGTCACATTTGAAATGAACATTTATTTTATATGTGGTGCTATCGACGCCCAGTAGGTGGCAGTGCAGCGCTGTGGTTTTTCGCCTCGGGCTCCTAAACCTTTTATCAAGGACATCACAGTGTACTCAATGTAAATGTGACCTTTGACTTGGGTGATGATAGAAGAAATGACTTCGATGTACAACTAGAGTATACAAATATTTTATTTCAAGTAAAATGTGTCTCTCTGTCACTGGGGACAACCTGTCCAAATATATCTTTCTTCTACCTAATTACATTCCAGTGTCACTAAAATACAATATCTACATTTTGAGGCACATGTTTATTCTCTCAGATCACAATCACAGTTTTAAAACAACCTCCTCCCAAAACAGGCTTCAGCAGGTCAGTGTTATTTGGCGTGAAATACATTTTCTGTAACAGTGTCATGCTGGTGTGTCCAACATGCTAAAGAGCAGGTAGTCTGTTGCAATGGTTCCCAACCCAATTCTAGTCTGACGATGTGCATCCGTCCACAGCTCCAGAGGTCACTCTGAGGGTCACATTAAAGGTAACATGGAAGCAATGAAATAATCTCTTTATTCTTGTTGTCTAGTGAGAAGAAATGTAAAATATTCCAGTCAAAATGTCTGAATGTCATACAATTTTTCATTTTCCTTAGACCACAGCATTTGACCAACGTTATTTCTCATCATCTGGTTCCTTTGACCTGTTGGGCCTAACCGTTCAATTTAGGGTGGAAGTGTGACAAATCAGAACCAGAATGAATGAATCAAAGCATTGAAACGTTCCATTACTCTTACTGTGAAAATCTACGTACTTACGCTTTAGTGGCTACGCTTCGTGTTTTTGTTTTATGGGCAAAACACCAAAAGTGATTAACGGAAGTAAAAGTTGGTCGTCTCGTGTTTTGGTTCTAAACGAGAAAACGGCCGCTCACTACCGTTTTACCAGTTTTGGTTTCAAACGAAAAACAAGAAAACAGTGTTTTCGTTTGATGGTTTTTACCCACCTTTCCTGAGTAATTAATAATTCTAGCTTTTGGTAAGGAGTTATTCATATTAATTAATTAATTAATTAATGGTGAATGTGCACTGTATTGAAAATAATAATACTTGTATAGCCCTTTTCATAGTACTCAAAGGAATTTTAATTCAAATAAAACATAAAAAGAATGCTATGTGGGGTCTATATAATATATAGAAATAATATATTAAAGTATATTATTTAACAACTTTGTTACTGCCAAACATTGTCCTTGGAAAAGTTATTGCATGAATGTACATGAATTTCTCTCTAAATGTTTGAAAAAGTGACATGTGAATATTGTCGTGCTTATTTGTTCATATGCTAAATGTAGCAAAACTGCGCAGGATTTTAGAACGTGCGACATTTTACAAACGGAGCCCCATAGTTACTTTGAGTGCGGAGTGATATCGCTCGGGTCAATGTGAACAACAACTGTACTGTTACGGCTGTCACCGTGGTCTGTATTTCTTTCCTGTCTGTACCAAGTAGGCTGTGCGGCCCTGTGGACTGAAGCCCCGCCTACTTCCTGGTTTCGGTGGAGCACCACAGGTTCACTCCAGCTCCACCCATTGGTCCACCCTGTCCCAGCGCGCCCAATGGCAGGTCACCATCGCAGCCTTACCTCCAGCACTTAAGGAGAGCCCACCAGTGGCTCGAGGCAGCTTGTCTTGGCCAGTGGACTTGTGTGCCTGTTGTGTTTGTGACTGAGTGCACCTACGTTGAGTACTGTGCTTTGGGTCTGTGTGTTTTTTGCCAGCACGGAGCTGACAAAAGGGGGTGAGTTAGGGCCAGAGTCTACACTGATTTCACCACACGTAGTTCTTTGTTTGTTAGCGTCATAGGTGTAGTGGGTGCTGTGCTCTTTGTGTTTTTTTCTGGTACGCGCCTACTGTTTGTTTTAACGTATGTTCAGGGCCCAAAATGTCAGCAGGAGAGCCAAAACCACGTCGTTCAACCACGAGTATCCCAGACGGCCATTCTGATGCATCGTTTGTTCTGCTGATCATAAATCTTTTTGGCAATGCACAGGAAAAAAAGGAAACAAGTAGAGCTGCTGCTGCTGCTGCTGCTGCTGCTAGTCCCAGTGCCCAGTAGAGGCCGATCCTTCCTCGAGGATCTCCTCTCAGACTCGTATCACTCGTTGTCTCATGTTCGGGCCGATCCTTCACTGCTGCAAAGAGACCCAACAAATCTGTTTTATTAATGTAAAGAAAAATGTTTATTCATCTGAATAAAGCTGCTGAATTAAACGTGTTAGTAAGTTTAACTTAATGAACCTACCAGTGACATTGAGGCGACATTCCTTATAGTTCTTCCCATAACTTGTGAACACGCCACACCAGTACAGCCCCGAGTCATTAGTCTGGAGTCTGGAGATGTGAAATTTGAGTCGTCCTTCTCTGAGGGCGTCTTTGTCCCACTGGACTCGTCCTGCAAAGCGTTCATCTCGATCCTTTGGGACCTCGACACCTTCATATAGATGAAACAGGACTGAAGGTCTATCAGGATTTGACATCTCACAGGTGATATGAAGGGAGTTGGGGGAGTGGTCCGTGCTGGTGGGGAACATCCATTCCAGTGAGATGTTGTGGTTTCTCCTCTGCATGATACCAGCTCTGTGTCACATTCACTACAAATGACCCTGGAGGAGACAGAGAAGGAGAGGAGGAGTGACAAACTGACAGCTCACAGGAGCCTTAGACTCCTCTCCCGAGTTTCTGAGGAGTGTGTGCTGATGCTTCACATTGCACAAACTGAACTCACCACAGAAAAAGGAGGTCAGGATGAAGATCACCAGGATCCTGCAGATCATCTCCTCCCTGTGAGAGGAGACAGAGGAGAAGAGGCTCAAATATCACATCAACAATCTATAGTGTGTCTCTACATTGTGATGCTCTTTGTGTTTCTCATCTTGCTTGTTACAAACACACAAAGCGTTGATGCTAATGACGACCTCCCTGAGAACTACAACCACAAAGTAAAGCTGGTTTTACTGAAGATGTTTCACTCATAGTCTCTCATAAGAATAAACTGCAGTTAAATTCCAGACTTCCAAACAACACAAAATCAACGGGTTTTAAGTCACAGTGTGGATTCATCATTATATTATAACATGACTTTAATACTGAATATCATTAGTTAACCACATTTAACTAATACATTTATCAGGCTTGGCGATTGACAGTTAGTCCAATCACCTGTTCCATCACTGTAAAAAACAACCTATAGAATCTATCAGTGTACCAAACTGCTTTGGAAGAGGACCCGTTTGTGTACCACCTGGTAGAAGAAGACTACGAGAACGACTTGGACACGGTGACGTGGTGTTGAGCTTTATCCTCCTACACAATCAATTTATTCTAAATAAACTGAACTACCCAGAGGCCGGCTTGTGTTCTTGAACAGTGACGTGGAAACCCACGCATGGGCTTGCCACATAGAATATACACAATATAAGCACTTAATACCTAGTAGTTGTTATTAAAATTGAACATTATTAACAATTACTTATTCAGGGAAGGGAAGTTTTACTTATTTACTATTTTATTAGGCTGCAATTGTTACTGTTGACAAATTATACATTTGTTTGCTGACTAATACACTTCCAGAAAAATGTAAACGAGTTGGGTAATAATTACCTTCCAAAATTCGTTTACAGTGAACTGGGGGAAGGGATCATGATCAAGCCGGACAGACGTTCTGCTTGAATGCATGAAATGTTGTGTAAATGTTTTCTTTGAATATAAATGTGTTTTTGTTTTAAACACATTAGACACCCACTGTTTCTTTCCTCTTGTGGAAGTTGCATTTGGAATAAAAGGCAATTCCGCGAGTTTAGAACACCAGCGTGTGTCTCGTTTATTTTTACCACAACAAACTCACAAGATGGCGCAGCCCTGTAACCTCACAAGCAAGGGTCTCTACGTCATAAATAACAAAACGTTTAAAGATCCCGGAACAGCCGCAGTTACGTGTACAACAAAACAAGAACAAAGGTGAATTATGCAGTCACATTCACTACACTCTTACCTATTATATGGTAGTGTTTTTAATAAGTCAGTTGGGCCTTTCTGTCTGATTCTCTTGTGGGGCTTCCTGCTGTAACATATGGAGCAGCCATCTTGCTTGTGCTTTTGTATTGTGTGAGTTTTAGACATTTTATTGGCTCTGATTCGTTTGAGGTGGAATTCTGCTGATTTTTACTTTATTTTACACTGACCTCCCGGATGGTACAGTTAGTCACACATGTTCTATTTTTATTTTAAAATGTTTATATCTTAAATTAATGCTTCTTTCTCTTTTATTGAGACTCACTTGTGGAGAGAATTAATTTGTGTAGTTAATGCAATAAATAGTCTGGTTGTTTATTCTTCCTCTTGTACATGAACAAATATCGTCTGATTTTATGTTTTTTGATCTTGATGTCTGCCTGAGAGCCTCAAACACTCATCGATTTGACGATGCAACAGAACTAAACCCTCACGGAGTAAACGGGAGCGCTCCTCAGAGTCTGAGTGCGCAAAGTTGCTGGTTGGTCATGATTTCTGTCCCTTTGGACGGTTCTTCCAAACTCGCGGCCCGCGGGCCAATTGCGGCCCTCGGGCCGATATTTTGTGGTCCCATCCTTAATATGAAAGTGTAATGTTAGTGCGGCCCGCAAGTTTTATACTGTAACCCCACTGTCAGCTGCTGTGCGGGACATGTTATGATGTTCTGGTTTCCTACTGTGGGCTTGTCCAGTGAACGTGGCATGCATGTGACTGACATGGGGGGCGGGTCGTGTGTGTCGGCCGAGGTGCAGAGAGCAGGAGGGTGAAATTCAGTTTCCTGCCCTCTTTCGCGCAGGTGATCATGTGACTAACCGTTAGCATCGCTCGTTTAATAAAGTTTTCCTTTACGACTCACACTAACAACACATGAAGCATCTGACGTCACCGACGAGCGTCTCCGTCCATTACTACGCAGCTTCGATTCACGTAACTTCACGTTTGGCTACAAAGGAATTCCACGGTCACATGACCTTAGGTCTCCCCCGCTGAGTTAAAGGAGGACTAGTGTTGTAGTCTCATTCGGACCGATCCCCCAGGGTGGGGTTCAATGACTGCTTTTGAAAGTGAGTGTTAAGTTGTGTTATTGTCGACCATGCCGTTCGGACGCTAGTCTGGCCCGCGTTCGGTTGAAGTGGGCTGCATCTGGCCCGCAGCTGATTTGAGTTTGAGACCCCTGTCCTAAATGAAGCACGATGTGAACATCTACCAACGTTTATAACTAATATCACACAGGGAACACACACAAAATGAATCTTTACTAAAATACTAAATAATACAGCTGTTTTAGGTTATAGTGGATCAGGTTATATTCTGACTGTAAAGAATAAATTGCATATTTCTACAGTTGAATTATATTTAATTAACAAAAAAAGATTACCCGCAAATATATTTGGTGATCCACGAATCCTCTCATAATAAATGTTATTAAAATCATAACACCAACATCAAGTCATTCTCTCTTTACCATGGACGTCTTGAGTGATCGTGAAGTAAACTCCTCAGTCAGAGTTTCATTTTAATCCATTTACAGAGTTAAGAATAAAATAACACTCCCAGACGAGGATCCTTCTCAGTCTTCCACGTGTCTAATGGTTCATTGTGTGGTTTAGGGCGGTGTAATGGGCGGTGTAATGTGAGACCCATGAGTCATGTGACCATTAGGATTTCAAGCCCCCATTCCACCCTTTCCATGAAGGACAAGTTGGTGCTGGTATGTTTTTTCACAAAAATGTTTCATATTTTCCGTCTATATCTCTTTCCCTCTCAGTAAACAGCTAGCGGCGCTAGTGACGGTTAATTTATGACCAAACTCCGGGGATTTGCACAAACAGCGTCATCACTTGTTTGTCTGATGCTGCAACTGTTTGGCGCAGCACGAGCACGAGGAGGAGGAGGAGGAGGAGGAGGAGGAGGAGGGAGGGAGGGGCGGGGCTTGTCAAGACCCTACACAGCCGAGCTCTTGATGGGTGACGTCTAACCCTGGCAAAACAGTCTCCATCTACCAGATTGCAGGACTTTTGAACGAGGCCTTCTTGTCAGCAGTACACCACGTAATATCACCTCTGGATTCAAGGCCACTGGAATTTTCCCATATGAACAAGATATTTTTCCTGTGGAAGCGTTTGCACCATCCATGGTGTCAGAGCGGCCAAATCCTGAGTCCTGCGTCCACTGGTCCGTCTACTTCAGATGATCCGGATGGTCCAAGCACTGCAGATGATCCACCCACTGATGCTAATCCATCCACGTGGTCCACATGCATGTTCCTCGCCAGCTGACTCAAGATGTGCTACGTGTTCTCAGCCAACCTGGATATGCGTCTCCTTGCGAAATCCTACCACATCTGATTATGGTCCCATGTGTTCTAAACTGTTTTGAAACTAATTTAGCTCCATATTACTGCAGATAAATGAATAAAAGAAAGCTGCAGTAAGGAAAGGCCCTAATTTTGAGGCATTTAGAAACCTCTTTTATAACCTTATATTCCTTTAACAAGTACATTCATGTTAACATGCAGTTTATAAAGGACCGTTTTTACTTTCCATTACAAAAGCAGTAAGCATTTTTTTTAGCTTGCTTTGTTCTTTTTACTAAGGTGGTGGTGGAGTGAAAAGACTCACCTCATGTTTAAATTCCTCAAAATACCTCAAGGAAGACATTTCTGTTGAGGTGGATGTGTTACTACAAGTCTACACATTTCAGAGAGCAACAGGGGATCAAAAGACAGAGGAGGGTCTGTGATCAGGTCTTGTGTATCAAACCCTTCACTCATGGGAGAGGATTTGCATGTATTGGATGTATGCAATACATTGTATATATATATATATATATATTGTATATATCCAAACAGTATTTTTAAAGGACTTCTCCCCTTCACAAACTGCTACATGCATGAACATGTAAATATTAAAGCTTTCAGCTCGTTTTCACCCACAAGTTCACACCTGCCAACAGTAAATTAAGCAGGATGGACCTATTTGGTGAGCAGGGGACAGAACATCTGACAAACTGTGCACATTTATGTAGAAGAAACAAAACGACATCAGTCCCTTGGTGTCGTGTTTAAAATAAGCATTTAATTGAAATTACAACTTTTGACAATTCTGTAGCTGCTTGTGGGTCTGCTTATATAACGGAAGTAAATCCAAAAGATAATACACATCTAAAAACAGCTTGATGAAAACGAATGCAAATCTAATGCATTCTTGTTTGAAATGTGTCAATCCTCTTTCACTTGCTCGTCATTAAACAAAAAGTTTACAATTTAGTGCAAGGTAAACAAAAGTTTAAAAAAACATTCAACCATTTTAAGTGCCCTAAATTAGTAATGTTAATTCATACATGTCAACGAATCTACGTGTCAAATCTCATGAATAAATAAACATTTACATGTCTAACTACTGGAGGACTTACTCGGGCGACGGTCGGGCGATGATGAAAGAGCTTTTATTCTATTTGGAGGTGTTGAAGCAGGATGTCTTATTGTAAAAAGGCCAGAATTCGGTTTCCGGATAGCATGATCCTTTTGGCGACTCTT